TGTTGGGGAATTCATTTTTTTTTTTTTTTTTTTTTTTTTTCCAGTACCAGGGATCAAACTCAGGACCTTGTGCTTGCAAGGCAGGCAAGGCACCACTGAGCTAAATCCCTGGCATGGGAAGCATTCTTAAAGGAAGGAGTGTGTATTACTTCCTCCTGATCTGCACAGTCTTTCGTGTAGCTCAAACATGATGGGAGGATCTCCCACAGTCATCTAGGGCCATGAGAATGAGTCGCAAGGAAACTGGACTCCTGAAAACAGTGTGAATTTTCCATACCAGCTCTGGCCTGCTTGCATCCAGAATCATTTTGTGTGAAAGGAAAATAAACTTCTATGTTGCTTTAGCCAAGGTTATTTTGGAATTTTTTGTTAAAATGTGCTGTTCCTCATTTTTGCCTTCCCAAGATGAGTACATGAGAGCCACAGTGCTATATGGGTTTCATAGAGAGAAGATCATATTCTTCACAACTTATCCTGAGAAGTGAGTCATCACTGTTTCTTGGGAAGACTTGGGCTCCCCCATCCCCTTCCAGCTCAAAGCAGGGACAGAGAGGCTGCTGTTAAGGATACAGATGTTGCAGCCCAGCTGAGCTGGACCAGTCTCCTGAGACAAATCCCTTCTTCCCAGTGTTCTCATCTTCTCCCAGAGAGTGCAGGAAGGAAACTGGGTTGGGGGCAAGAGGGGAGCCAGATTAATTCCTCTTATGGTTGGATTCCCAGGGGTGGAGGAGCCAGGAAGTCTAGCAGAGGCTTCAGCAGGACCTCCAGCTGGCCCCTCTGGCCCCAGGCTCTTCCATAAGTCAAAGCACACTTGGCTGCTCCTCCAGAGATCCTCTCTGGCTCCAGCACCCCTCACCTTGAAGAGTAGTGACTCTGGACAAAGGGGCAGGATTGGAGCACACTTTGGGTGCAGAGAGGTCAGGGTTTGAGGGCATGGGATGGAAACAGAGATGGAGTTGGTCTGGAAGCTGGTGCAGTTTTACTCTGTCTAGCACTGGGTCTAGGTCAGGGATATTTTGGGGAGCCCATTCCTCCCAAATGATGAATCAATGCTCTAGATGACATCATGTCCCTAAATCACGTCTATATCTTTCTTCCAGGAACCTGCAGAAGTCCCTGGAATTCATACTCACTCAGCAATATGTGAGAGGTCCAACATGTACTCATGAGCTCTCATCCAATCCTCCAGGAGGCCGGAGAGAGCGACACCAGCCCCATTTTAGCAATGAGAGTAACAGCACAGACAGATCAAGTAACTTGCAAGTATCTCAGGTTGCCCAGATGTACATGGTGGGGCTGGAACCTGGGCATTAGACATCTGACTCCAAACACCAGGCTTTTTGTCTCAGCCATCCCTGAGGAGCCCCATGTCGAGGGAGATCTCAGTCCAAGGTCACACACATCAGCTTCCCGGTGATCCCAGGTGCAGACCAGGCTGTACAGCTGGGCCCCAGCCCTCAGCACATCCTCTTGTCACATTTTATTACCTACCTCATCTCCTCCAGCTTCGCCTCAAACTTACTTCTGATTGTACTGGAAAGGTTTTGAGATTTTGAGTGGCATTGTATATGTGATTCAGTGGATGATATTGATAATCCTTTATTGTGATGTAAGGATTTCAAACTGTTTTCCCATACGAGGAGTGACTGATCAAAAATCAGGTGACTGTTTAAATTTTAAAAGTAATTACAGTAAAAGACACATTGCCATTAATTCTCCTTACAGTACTCCCTCTTGCTTTGAACACATTTTTTTTTTGAGGCAGCATCTCTCTATGTAGTCTAGGCTTTCCTTAAACTCATTATGTAGCCCAGGCTGGCTTCAAACTCACAGCAATCCTCCTGCCTCAGCTTCCCAAGTGCTGGAATCACAGGTGTGTGACACCAGGCCCGACCTGCTTTGAACACATTTACCCCATCATTCTTGTCCCTTTCTGATATCAGTTCTGCAAGTCTTCTTTTATCTTTAGTTGCACAGTCATGGTGTCTCAATGTCCAAAACACATTGGAAACATTTACCTTTCACTGTCATTTTGACTTTGGGGAAGAGCCGGAAGTCTCATGGTGCCAGATCTGGTGAATACGGTGGGTGAGGGCACGACATAATAGATTTCAAAGTCTGCCTTTCCAGCGGATGGCACTCAGGAGCACCATTCATTGTATTTTTGATCATACTTTGTATTCTCTGTGTTGAGGACACTGGCATTAGGCAAGCGAAGGAGGAAATGGAGATTCACAGGAGCTGAATGACTTGTCCAGGGCCACATAGCCAGGAAGGATACAGGGCCTAGCCAGAACTCAGCCTTGGGCTCCCACAGGGGGCTCTGCCCCTTCTGCGACAGAGTCTGGACTTATGCTTAGGCCTCTTACCACTTTTTAAATGACATAGCCACCTGTCTCAGGCTCTGTTGGGTCTTACGGAGAATCTAAAGCCTAACACGTACTCCCAGCCCTAAGGCAGCAGTGACCCAGAAATGACCAGAAGGAAAGCCTAAGAATAACCCCCAAGTCACAGAGCCACAAGGGCATCAAGGGAGGTTGGTCTCAGGGTCCCTCCAGGTCTCACTGCTCTCAGGGGTGTCTGCATTTCTCCAGAGACACAAAATATTCATGAATCGTGTGTCCCATTCATGAGTTTGCCTGATCTAAATATCACTCATGCTGTTATTTGTTCATTTTTTTCACACATTTTAAAGGAAACTTTATTCGCTACCTTACACAAATCACTTGAATTATAGCTCAAGGCTGCCAGCGAAGACTCTGAACCTGAGGTCTCTTTCCTGTTAAAGAGAAAAGTTAACAGATGTTAGTGAGGTGTTAGAGACATATTGGCCCCTCACTGGGGCTTTCTCTCTGACTTGTTGGGAGGTTGGAAGGAGGACTGGAAACCACAGTTTTCTCACTCCATGACTCCATGGGGGCTATGTCTGGGTTCAACTAGAATTCTTTCCAATATTCCTGTCCTGGTCTGGTTTCTATCCCTATCCCAGAATACCTCAAACTGGATGACGTGCAAAGGAAGGAAATGTATTTCGACTCATGAGTCTGGAGGTCAGGGAGGCCAGGGGCAATCATGGTGTGGGCTTCTGGGGAGGCCTCATTCTGTACCCTAGCGTGGTGGCAAGAACAGCAAATGAGCACATGGGCAAGAGAAAAACACAAGGGCCACCTCCCTTTTAGCACTCTGCTGTCCCTGTGACTTGTCCAGTGCCCTGGAGAATGCAAATTCACTCATTCCCACGAGAGTTAATTAGCCCTTCAAGAGCATGATTGACCCTTCGCATGGATCCTTGCTCCCAGGCACCTGGTAAATCTCCCCGCCACTTTTCAAAACTGTGTTATTGGGGGCCAAATTTCAGCAAGGGTTTGGGGGGGCACAAACTACCTCTAAACCACAGCAATGCTGCAAATCATCTCACAGAGGAACCGGTGACACTGAAATGAAATATTTCAGGTCTGTGGGCAGAACAGGTGTGACATCTCGAGGAGCAGAATCATAGCTGGCGTGTCACGGAGGGCGATATGGATGGCCCATGCCATTTTCTGTCTGGAAAGGATAAAAAGAAAAAGTGGACTTCTAAGCTTTGGCACAAGCTTTAATAACTCACAGAGAGATTTTTTTAAAAGCACAACGCTTATCGCCAAGAGATTTCAGCACTAGCTGCCAATTGCAGGGACCACCCAAGATCATCCAGCAGGCCACCCCACAAAGTCTGAGCCAAGCCTGAGCACCCTCTAGGATGAAGTTGCTCTACCCTCAAGAGTAGAACAAAGTGTTCATGTTGTAGGAGAAACCTGTCTCACACTGCAGCAAAAACCCAGTCCTTGGGACTTGGTCCCAGATGAAGGAATTTTGTGTGAACCAGCCTAGGGGTGCGATCTTTGCCAGACTCGCCTTCTCTTGGGGAGTCTCTCTGATTTCTGCTTCTGCTATCATGTTGGTCCTAGACCAGGGATGGTAAAGCTATAGCATCCATGCTGCAGGCAGCATTTTTATCAGCTGTTTGTTATCACTGAAGTCTCTAAAAGGCTCCCCATCACTGACCTAGAGGGAACTAACAGGAAGCAAAGTGAAAAAAGGAAACAAATTCAAGGAATGAGAATGGCTCACGGGCCATAGCCTGAAATACCTGCCCTCTAGTGTCGGCCTGGGGGCCTCCAGCTCACCCTATGATCCACCCCCTGAGTGTGCCTCCTACACTTTGTAGCTTCTATAGTCAGGGTCAACCGAGCCCTTTTCCCAGCCTTCAGCCTGGCCCGGCCTTTCCTGTACCGACAGGCACACATTTTCCTGTGTGGTCTTGGTAATGCTTCCCCTTCGTGCAAGACGCACCCTCTACATTTGAGGTGTAAAAACACATTAACTGTGGCTTAATTAAACAGTTAACATATGGCCACTGTAGAAAACACAAATGAGGGCTGGGGATTCAGCTCAGTGGTTCTGGCGCCTGCCTCACAAGGACCTGAGTTCAATCCCTGGTACCAAAAAAGAAAAAAAAAAAAACAAACACAAATGAGCATAAAGAATGAAATAAAAATCACTGAATCCCAGCACCCAGGAAAAACTGTATTAATATTTTATAGTATGTGCTTCTATGCATGCTTAGTTTTCATTTATTCAAATGGAGTCGGATTGTTTTGTAGCATACTTTTCATTATTCTGTCATATTTTGGAGATGCCTTTTCAAGTCGTTAGTAAGAATTCTCCAGCCTTGTTGCTCAAAGTATGGGCCAGGGCCCCCCAGCATTGGCATCAGCTGGGA